GTTTCTCATGAAACAGTAGTACACATATTGTTTTATGACATTGGTTAACAACCCCATGACATGTCAACCCTCTCCCTTCTCGACCTTTTTTTGGTGAAAATATACATAGCCAAAGATACACCGTTTCAAAATTTCTGCATGCACAGTTCAGTGACATCGACTATGGTCTTCCAGTTGTGCTGCTATTCTCGCTTTAGATGAAGGTTTACAGAACAAAATAGTTTCTCATTAAACAGTTAGTACAATGATGATGGTTAACAACCTCATAACACATCAACACTATCCTTACTGAACCTTGGGTTCCCTATCACCAGCTTTCCTGTCCCTTCTGCCTTCTAGTCCTTGTCAGGAGGGCAGAGATTTTGTTTGTTTTGTTTACTGCTGTTTTCCCTGTTTTGCTCTCAGTGCTGAGAAACAGCACCTGGCTTTCACAGGCAATCAATAATTATTTAATGAGTAAATTGTATGTCTACCTGATAATCTGTTTTTTGAAAACCAGGCAGATGAAATAGCTGCTGCAAAGAAATATTCTATTCTAATCAATATGAAGAAATGGAAGGAAATTTCCTTTCCTACACTGAGTAACCTCACTATTTTCCTTTGTTAGAGATGTTCAATCTTACTACGTCTTTGTGAGCTCATGGATGATGAAGATGGAATCTATTTTATCTAAAGAGCAGAGAATGGATAAATTTGCTGAAGACCTCACCAACAGATGTAATATTTTTATACAGGTAATTGCATCTTATTACTTAAAATATTTTGGGGGTCGTTTCTTTGTTAATCCAAATTTACAAAAGTTACAGAGACTTGGGAAAAACTGGAAAAGGATAGGCTATGTTTTTGTTTTTAAAACTGAAATGGAAATTGATTATGTTTGAATCTATATGACTTATTAATTTAGATTTTCTAATATATGTATTTAAAGCTCTGCATTTCCTGCAAAACATGACTTTTTAGCTGCATTCCATAAGTTTTGATATGTTGTATTTGCACTGTCTTTTAGTTCGAAACAGTTTAAAATTTTCCTTGTGGTTTCTTCTTGATCTGTGGATTATTTTGAAAGGCTTTTCTTAATTTCCAAATATATGGGGATTTTCTTGTTATTCTTTTACTATTGACTTCTAGCAAGAATTTCAGTGTTTTGAAACTTGTTGAGATTTGCTTTATGACCCAGCCTGTGGTCATTTTTGGTAAATGTTATGGATTGAGTTGTGTCCCCCCAAAATGTGTGTCATCTTGGCTAGGCCATGATTTCCAGTATTGTGTGGTTGTCTACCATTTTGTGATCTGATGTGATTATCCTATGTGTTGTAAATCCTAACCTCTAGGATATTAACAGGCAGGATTAGAGGCAGTTATGTTAATGAGCAGGACTCAGTGTACAGGATTAGGCTGTATCTTGAGTCAGTCTGTTTTGAGATATAAAAGAGAGACATGAGCAGAGAAGAGAGGTACTCATACTACCAAGAAGTTCCGGGAGCAGAGTGCATCCTTTGAACACAGGGTCCCTGTGCTGAGAAGCTTCTAGACTAGGGGCAGATTGATGACAAGGACTGTCTGCCAGAGCCAGCAGAGAGAGAAAGCCTTCCCCTGGAGCTGGTGCCCTGAATTTGGACTTCTAGTCTCCTAGACTGTGAAAGAATAAGATTCTTTTGGTTAAGGCCATCTGCTTGTGGTATTTCTGTTATAGAAGCACTAGGTAACTAAGACAGTAAACATTTCATATATACTTCAAAAGAATGTGTTTTTTGCATTTGCTGGTTGTAGTGTTCTTCCTATATATCAAATAGGTCACGTTTGTTAATTATTTTGTCTGCTTACGCATCAGTTACTGGGATAGTTGAGTTAGAATTGACCACTATTTTTGCTGATTTGTCCACTTGTGTTTGTAGTTCTGTTATTTTTTGTTGTATATATAAACATTTAGAATTGTTTTATCTTACTGGTGATCTGAACCTTTTATCATCATGAAATGTCTCTTTTTTACTCTAATAACGTTTTTGCCTTAGGCGTCTTTTATGTGATACTAACATAGCTATACCAAAATTTTCCTTTGGTTAATGTCTTTATGGTGTATCTTTTTTGATCCTTTTAACCTTTCTGGCTTTTTATATTTAATGAGTATTTCCTGTAAGCAGCATATATTTTCCCCTAGTCTGACAGTCTTTGTTTTTCAGTTGAACCGTTTTGTGTGTATGTCTTTACTGATAACTTTTGGGATTTAAAACTACCACTGACTAATGGCTTTCTATTTGTCTCACCTGTTCTATGTCTGTGTCATTTTTTCTTTTCCTTTCTTACTCTCCATTAGATTATTTTTATCAGTTTATTTCTCCCTCTCTCTGTTGGTTTGTTAATTCTGTATTCCTTTACTGTTCGTTTAGTGGTTACTCTAGAGATTTTAAGATGCATCCTTGACTTACTCAAATCTAGCAAAAATTAGTAGTTTTATTACTTACCAGGTAGTGTAAGTATCTTAGAACATTTTATTCGATTTATCCCCCTCTTACATTTTGTGCTACTATTGTGTATTTTGATTCTATATATATATTTTGAACTAAACCAGACATTATTACTGTTGTTGTTTTTATAGTCATGGTTCATCTAAATTTACCCACACGTTTACCTACTCTGTTGCTTTCGCTTTTTATCCTTATCTATAAGCTTTCATCCTTCTACTTGTGGAATATCCTTTAGTATATCCTTTAATATGAGTCTCTGTTGAAAATTATCACAGTTTTTGTTGGAATGTGTGTTCATTTCAACTTCACTTTTGAAGGTAGTTTTGCTGAGTATAGAATTCTAGGTGGACAAGTTTTTTTCTTTCAACATTTAAAGGTGTCATTGTATTGTTTTCTGGCTTCTTTTGTTTTTTCTGAGAAGTCAGTTTTTAGTCTTGTTTCTTTTTGAAGATAATAGTTCCTTCTTTAATTCCTTATAAGATTTACATTTTGTTTTTAGCAATATTATTATGATGCACCGAACCATATCATTATGGTTTTCTTTGTGTTTGTGCTGCTTCAGATTTGTAGACCTTCTTGAATTTGTGGAACGTTGTCAGCCATTAACTCCCAAGTATTGCTTCTGCTTTATTTTCTCTCTCTCCCAATTCTGTCTTCAGCTATGTGTAATCTGCTGTTAAACCCATATAATGAGTTCTTAATTTTAATTACAGGTGGTCCCCAACTTACGACGGGGTTCCATTAGGACAATTCCATTGTAAGTCAGTTCTGATGTTAAGTCAAATACATCATTTTTTTTTTTTTAATTTTCATTATTATTGCCTTTATTATCAGTATTTTTATAAATCAAAACATTGAACATCTGAACATCTGCGAATGATAATATCAGCAAATTTCACACTGCAACACTGCATGTAGTACATATTATTAACGATAAGATGTACAAAAAAAAATGGTTGTAATTGCGGTTCATTGTAACTCGAATATGTAGTAAGTTGGGGTCTACCTGTATTTTATAGCTTTTCAGTTTGCTGCTTTTTTTTTTTTTTTTTTTTAACAGTTTCCAGTTCTCTTTCGAAATACTTTGTTTTATTTTCTTGAACATACTCAGCATAGTTATTTTGCAGCCCATGTCTGATAATTTCATCATCTGTATAATTCTGTTGTCTGTTGTCTTGGTTTTTGGATATGTCTTATCTCTTTATATGCTTGGTTATTTACTATAGAGTGCTTGATGTTTATAAAAAAAACTGTAGACATACTTTGAGGATATGGATACTTTTCTTCCTCCAGAGAGGATTTTATGTTGTCTTCTGGCACATAGCTAGTCTAGGGTAGCCGTTAATGCAGATCACCTCAGTGCAGTCATAGATTGAGATGATTTGAAGCTGGATGTCAATCCTTGTGAGGGCTGGTCTTTTTCCAGCTACCCTTACTTTTAGAGGGTAGTCCTTCAGGATTCTAATCCAAAGCTTAGGTGGTTTACCAGGATTCCTTCTGTCCCTTATGGCCATGAACTCCCGTTTTTTATCCCCTTTCTCTGAGACAGTGTTGAAAGATATGTTTGGCTTCTCAGTCTTCATTCTCTACTTTTGGAATGGGCAGATGCCTGTAAGGGAAAGCAGCCCCACATGCCATGCTCACTTCTCTGGATTTCTGTCTTCTCCCAGATTTTGGCCCCATATTTCTTTAATTTCTTGATAGCTCCTTGATGCTTTCCAGGAGATTTTTAAAATGTTTTGCCCAGACATTCTAATTCTTAGCGGAAGGGTTGTTCCAGATTACTTATTCTGTCATTAATGAAACACAACCCCCTTCCAAATTTAGATACTTAAATGCGTCCTTCAGAAATTCTTTCACAAATTCAGGACCATCTGGGAATGGAGTAGTATGGACCCAAGAAGTCTGTACCTTAAAGCCTCCTCCATCCCCCTCCCCAAAAAGGAACTCCCCTTTCTGCCTGTCTAGAGTATACTTTTGTTGTTCCTTGTTTCTGCTTTTTTCTGTTTCCCAGCATTGCACTAGGGCAGAGTCTAGTGTAACAACTCTATAGCTAACAAGGTAGGACGTGTGGCTCTTTCCTGCATGTATCCCTAAGCTTTAGTCCTACTGTCACCTTTCTTAGAATGTTACTCTCCCTGCCATTTCTTCATCCTCTTCATTTAGCATATTAATCATAATCTCATCACTACTGAGCAATTATTGGTTCAGAGAACCCCCCATCTCCCACCCTGCATTGAGTTATCATTCCTTCCATGAGCCACTGTTACTGATGGGAGAGTACTTTATCTCTCACATATGATGTGGCAGGAAAAAAGTTGAGAATCACTGCTTCTGCCCCAGCCTCTTGGCTGTAGCTACAATAGTAGAGTTTAGTTTCATTTCTAAACTGTACGTGTATCTTATTTTAGTCCTCTGTATACCCAGAGAATCTCCGTTATTACCTTAGTGTTTCTATATGTCCCTTTTAAGTCCAAATGAAGACAAGTATTTGCGAAGCAGATTTTTTTTCCCTTGTTTTCGTATTCCATCCTGTTTTCCTGAGCTTACTAGCATGGAAATTTTCATAAAACATCACAAGACCTGTATGCTTCCTTTATGAATGGAAGGGTGGGGAGAGAATCTGTTCTCACCAGGCTAGAAGGAGAGAAAGCCTGATGCATGATTAGAAACAAGTTTGTTATTAGATGCTGTTGAGTCAGCCTTGACTCGTGGTGCCACCATGCATAATGGGATTGGACCACTGTGATCCATAAAGTGTTCATTGGCTGATTTTTGGAAGTAGATCACCAGGCCTTTCTTCCTCGTCTGTCTTAGTAATTAGGGGAAATGGTAATAGATGGACAGTGGGGATTGGCCTAGGTGAAAGGAAAGGGGGAATTGGCTTGGGACTTAGAAATACCTCTGGATATCTGTTTTGGCTGGAGAACAGCTCTCTTTCCTCTTTCTCCTTTTCAGTCCTTAGCTTCTTAAAAGAGTCCTCAGCTCTTAAGATATAGCACATAGGAGTCTTTATCACCTTACCTGTCTGATAATGTCAGGATGAGTAGATGTCTTTTTGACATCAAATTGTTTATCTGAATTTTTTTTTTTTGTTTCTTTATGGAAAGAGTCTTTAATCTTGGTTGCATCCTATAATTTCATCAGTACTAAACTTCTGGTACATTATAGGTGGTCAGATACATTTTAAGAGCTGTTTTGAAACTTAACCACCATATGTAACATTGTCTCTGTGAGGAAGAGTTATTTCAAATTCTTAAGATCTGGTTTTAAAATGATGTTTAGAAACACTAGGTATTGTTAAGGTGAGTTATACTTATTATTACATAGAGAGTGAAATCTTGAAGAAATGAAGTCTTTCCTTGTGATTATGACGAGTTTTATTTATTTTTTCACAGGGCTTCTTATATGCATATAGTATCAGTACCATTATTAAAACCACAATGAATCTCTACATGTCCATGCAAAAGCCAATGACCAAAACCTCAGTTAAGGCATTGTGCAGGCTTGTTGAACTTCTTAAGGTAGGTTTCAGATTATTTTATCTTGCCATCATAATTGAGAAATGAACAGAGTTTAAATTAAGATAGTCTTCTTGAATTTGTTTTGTTTTATATGAGAACAAAAAATTATGGGAAAGGGTAAAGGGTACTTATCTCACATGTGGGTAAAGGAAACTACCCATTGAAAAAAGATTCTGAGTAACTTCAGCACTACCAGGGCTGCTCCTACGAATGGCCATTATATTTAAACTTTATTGATAGTTAACATGTAGTAGGGGAGAAAAGAAGCAAAATGAAAAGGTTGTTGTTGTTGTTAGGTGCCATCAAGTCGGCTCCAACTCATGGTGACCCTATGTACAACAGAATGAAACACTGCCTAGTCTTGCGCCATCTTCATAATTGTTGTTATACTTAAGCTCATTGTTGCAGCCACTGTGTCAGTCCATTTTGTTGAGGATCTTCCTCTTTTTTGCTGACCCTCTACTAGGGACTGGTCCCTCCTGATAACATGTCCAAAGTACATAAGACAAAGTTTCACCATTCTTGCTTCTAGGGAGCATTCTGGCTGTACTTCTTCCGAGACAGATTTGTTTGTTCTTCTGGCAGTCCATTCTGTATTCTCCAACACCATAATTCACAGGCATCAATTATTCGTTCTTCTGTATTCATTGTCCTGCTTTCACATGCATATGAGGTGATTGAAAACATCATGGCTTGGGTCAGGTGCACCTTAGTCCTTAAAGTGACATCTTTGCTTTTTAACGGTTTAAAGAGATCTTTTGCAGCACATTTGCCCAGTGCAATGCAACGTTGGATTTCTTGACTGCTGCTTCCGTGGGCATTGATTATGGATCCAAGTAAAATGAAATCCTTGACAACCTCAATCTTTTCTCCGTTTATCATGATACTTAATTACTGAAGCTTTGTTCATGAAAGTTTAATGCATGTTATATGAGTTCAAAAACATACCCATGTAACATTACCCATTATCTTACAGTGTTTGAATGTGTATGAGAGTAGTTAACACAAGGCTATTTATTTATAATTTAGAGAAAGTGTTGTAATCTTGTGATTTGAACAGTAGGCTACTTGTAGAGTTGGTCAAATGAATTTAGAATCAAAGTACACTTTTGGAAGTATTAAAAAATAAAACCCCTTGAGGTTAAGAGAGTACATTTAACCTTTTGTAAAAATTGAAATTAAGATTTGCTGGTAAATTTCTGTTAATAATGGACTTTAGATTTGTTTACGGAATAAAGATTTTTTGGAGAGTGTGCCTTTGAATTTCCAGCCTTTTTGTCTTTAAAATATATTATTATGAGTTACATTTATTTTTATGAAGTATAAATGTTGTTGAGTGCTGTTGAGTCAATCCTCATAGCGACCCCCATGTGACAGAATAGAACTTCCCCATAGGGTTTTCTAGGCTGTAATCTTTACTGGACCAGATCGCCAGGGCTTTTCTCCTTCAGAGCTGCTGGCGGGTTCGGACCACTAACCTCTCGGTTAGCAGTCAAGGGCTTAACCATTGCGCCACCAGGGCTCCTTAAACTATAAATACAAACCAAACTAAAAAACCAAACCTGATGCTGTCGAGTCCATTCCGACTCATAGCGACTCTATAGGACAGAGTAGAACCACCCCATAGGGTTTCCAAGGAGTGGCTGGCTGGTGGATTTGAACTGCTGACCTCTTGGTTAGCAGCCAAGCTCTTAACTACTGTGCCACCAAGATTCCATAAATACAAAAGTACATATAAAAACATATATATGTCTGTAAACGTGCATAGATAAATATATATATACACATATATGTAAGTATAGTTTTTTTTTTAAAAAAAAGTAAAACATACACTAAAATATCCACCGTACACAGAACCAATATTTTCAATGCTCCTGTGTGTCCCTCCCTGCCCTCCTCAGAGGAAGTCACTGTCTTGAAACTTAGGCTTATCATTGCCTTGCTTTTCTTTTAGTTTACCGCATATTGATGACTCTATAAACCATACATTGTTTAGTTATATGTTTCTGAAGTTATATTGATGGAGTAATACTTTATCCATTCCTTGACTTTCTTTTTTCCACTCAAAATTTTGTGTTGACTTCATCCATATTCATTTTCATTGCTGTGTAGCTTTCCTGAAGATGGGCTTTTGGGTTATTTCCAGTTTTTGCTATTATGAATAATACTGCCATTCTTACATATGTTTCTTGGTATAATTGTATAAGAGTTTTTCTAAGGTATATACCTATGAGCAGATTGTTTATTATTTCTGTTCTTTTAGTTCATATTTATTTACTCCTATGGTTCGCAGTTCTTCGTTGTGAGCTCATGAGTGTTGGAAATTTATTTATCTGAATTCCTTGAGATCTGGGCTAATGATAAGTTCCTCCAGAGAGGCATCAGTAATTTGGGAGCCTTTTAAACTAAAATCTCAGTTTGGCATTTTGGGGGCCATAAAAGTAATGAATTCTTGCCCAAATCATGGAGAAATATTTTCTTGTCTTAGTACCCAGCACTAAGGCCAAGATGAGCAAATTTTCTTACCATTTACTTCTGTGGAACAGGTTTCTTTCCAAGTTAATCCTTTCTCTGAGGGTATTATTTTATAGAGTCTGGCCTTATGTGGAGGTCTCAGTTTGATTTCCTACCTTACCACTTCCTATCTTGTCTCCATTCCTCAAACGTGGCTTTTAAAACCAAGTGTTGTAGGTCATCACAGAGTGGCAGAGCTTTTCAGGGTGACTGTCAATATCATTGTTTACCTCTCTGGATTTATGCTTCCTTGCTATTTAGTCCTCTGGTAAATTCCTGTGCTTTCTTGTAAGCTCACCTATGCATTTAAAGAGATTTAAAGTGTATTTTCTGTAACAGTTTTAGGTACTGTGTACTGGAAGAATCATTCAAGTATTCAGTACTCCGTATTTCCAAGCACAAAAGTTCTACCCTGTTTTTCTTGTGTTACAGTTGACTAGGTTTTATTAAACAACGGGGAAGCAGACTTCGGCATTGTATAAAATTGAATCAATATTGAGATTTTTCTTTACAGCTGGTATTTACATCTAACACCAATGCATTTATGTTTATAAATGTAAACTAATTAGTGTAGCCAATGTAAGCTAATCATTATAGCCAGTGAATATACTTTTAAATTTATTTTCTGGTGTTAAGTCCTGGTGTATAGAAATACTTCCGATTTTTTGTAATTTGATCTAGTTATCAAGCATTTACTAACCCTGATACTTTTTCATTATCTTGGATGTTCTAGATATGTTGTTATAATTGTGTTTCTCACCTTTCAATATTTTTATTTTTTCTTTATTGCATTAGCTAAAACTGTCAGATTACTATTAATAATTATAATAATGGATATTCTTGTTTTGATCTTGATTTTATTTATAATACTGCTAATACTTAACCAGTAAGTATCTTTTGAGTTACAAGTTGAAATTAGATCGTCACACTCGTTAAAGAAGCTGAGTATTCCAAATTTTGGGGGGTCTTTTTTTTAAAGACACATGTGGTAAATTTCATTAAATTTATGTTCCTTACCTTTTGAGCTCATTAAACTTGTTGATTCAGCAGATATTTATTGAACTCATGCTGTGAGCCATGCGCACTGTCAGGCACTGGGTATATAAACAAACAAACAAATAAAAACCTAAATCTGTTGCCGTGGAGTTGATTTCAACTCCTGGCGACCCCATGTGTTACAGAGTAGAACTGTTCCATAGAGTTTTCTTGGCTGTAATCTTTATGGATGCGGATTGCCAGGCCTGCCTTCTGTGATGCCCCTGGATGGGTTTGAACTGCCAGCCTTTAGGTTAATAGTGGAGCGCAAGCTGTTTGCACCACCCAGGGACCTCTAGCAGTTAACAAATAGTTGGGGCCCCTATTTGCTGATTAGTGATGTTCAGAATAATAATAAAAAAATCTTTTCTTGAATCATGCTTATATTGCTGCAGTACACCCTGTTTTATATTGGTAGAGTATACATTTATCATTATACAAGCATATTCTTTAACAGTGATAGAATAATATCTGACACATGTAGTGCTTATCATTTGCCAGGCACTGTCTTAAGTGCTTTAAATGTATTCCTCACAGTAACTGTGAAGTAGTAGGTACTGTTAATATCCTTATTTTGCAGGTGAGAAACTGAGGCAACCAGAAAGATTTTGAAATTTGTCCAAGGTTACACAGCTAGTAGTAATGGAATCAGATTTGAACCCAAGCAGTCTGGCTCAGGAGTCCATGACCTGAAGGTCTCCATATGCCACATTCATATTTTTTTTTCAAATCAACTTTATTGAGTTATAATTTTTATACAGTAAACTACTTTCATTTAAAGTATACATTTGAATGTGTTTGACTAGTCTACACCCCTGTGAAACACCACCACCACAATTAAGATACAGAACATTCCCATAACTATCAAAATTTTTTTCTTGTGCCCCTTTCAATCCATCCCTCCCTCTACCCTTGGCCCCAGACAACCAGGGATCTGCTTTTTCTCTCTGTAGATCAGTTTTTGCATTTTTGAGAATACTATTTAAATAGAATTATTGAGTAGTATTCTTTTATGTCTGTTTTTTTTTATTCATCATGATGATTTTGAGATTCATCCATGTCTCATTCTTTTAATGTTTGCATAGTATTCCATACAGTGGAAGTACTGTGATTTATTTAACCTGTTTTCAATGTATCCTTATTACACATGATACTGTGACTGTCCTTGTTCATGTGCCTTTGAGTAGTTGTACAAGTAAATAAAAATAATTTAAATAATAAAAGCAAGTGTGAAGCTTTTTAAAAACAGCTAATGTGCACAGAATTTCTTCTGATTCTTTTTAGGCAATAGAGCATATGTTCTACAGAAGAAGCATGGTTGTGGCTGATTCAGTTTCACATATAACACAGCACCTTCAACATCAGGCTCTTAATTCTATTTCTGTGGCCAAGGTATGTAATTGTTATTTTTTCAGCGTAGTTTTGTTACTGTTTAGTTTGCTCTTCTGTTCTAGCCAGTTTTCTCCATTCTTTCAAACATAATATTCTTGAGTAATTTTCTTCAGTTTTAGTTCTTCATGGTATTTTGTGATTTTTGCTTACAGTTATCAGGACTGTTTTTCTCTGAAGTTACAGCATCTAATAATCAACATAACCTCTATTTAAAAATGACATTGTATTCAGTTTTGACATTTGATACATCATGTGTTTTAGGAATGGTTTGTTATTAAGTTAATATAGAAATTTTAAAGTATGCCTAATAGATTTACTATTTCTGGAAATGCCAAGAAATAATGCTACAGAAGTAAACTATTCAATACTATCAGGAGAAGTGTGGAAAGTATTTGTCTGTGCTCTATGGGGTCGCTATGAGTTGGAATTGACTGGACAGCAACGGGTTTGGTTTGGTTTTCTCCTGAATTGAATTGTAGAAAAATACTCTAGAAGTTTTTCTTCTCAGTATTTTGTTACTGCCTCAGAAACAAAACTAACAATTTCCTGTTTTCTTTTATCATTAAGAAAAGAGTAATTTCTGACAAAAAATACAGCGAACAGCGTCTTGATGTCCTCTCTGCTCTAGTTTTGGCTGAAAATACTCTAAATGGACCAAGCACAAAGCAGCGACGACTTATTATTTCTTTGGCACTGAGTGTTGGCACACAAATGGTAAGTGTATTGCTATTACTTACGAAATGAAAATGAGGCCTGAGATTTCACAATTGCCTTGTTATTGACCCAAGAAACCTGTTCTTACTTTGAATGCAACTTCTGTGCCTCTTTTTCTCCTCCCTTGTAGAAAACATTTAAGGATGAAGAACTCTTTCCACTTCAAGTAGTCATGAAAAAGCTGGATCTTATCAGTGAACTTAGAGAACGGTAAGTAAGACTAGGATACTTGAGTAATGATAGTCAAAAGATACAGCTAATAGAGGCATGGATTTTCTTTTTAGTATAGCAAGAGAAGTAGAATCTGTATAGGTCATTATTGCCTCTGTGTAACTCCTTTAGCATCATGACCAAAATGAGACTGTGGTTAGGGATCCTACTTGTTCAACTTTGTTTCTCCATTAAGGCTATAACTTCTGAAAGAACTTGCATAAGAAAAAGCAGATGCAACCTCAAAAAGCATAATACATATTATGGTTGTTGTGATGAGGGTTTCTACTGGACTTATAAAATTGCTACTTTAGAACAAAAGTTTCATCTATTCGTGAGAGACTTTAGAGAGCTGTGACACAGTCTTCTGTAATTTTAATTTGCGACATGAATTTGAATTACGTTGTTGGTAGTCAGTCACTAAGTTGAATGTAGGAAGGCTCAATTTTATAGTTCCTCGTGGCTTTATTGTTTTCTATTTATCGAATAAGCAGTAAGTTTTTTGAAGTGAAAGCAGGTCGTCTTCATTTTGATTTCCAGCTGAGTTAAGATTATAACACTGTTTTCATTTAATGCTCATATGTATAATGTTTTTGTTATTGTTCTGAGAAGCTGACGTTTTTGTAGCTACTGGTATTTAATTTTCCATCCTAGAGCTTTCTATTTGTTTATATAAGATGTTTAATGTCTTTTTTTTTAGTCCCATAAGGTGTGTAATAGTCACTTGGCAAAGATTATAGAAGTGTTAGCTGTGACTTTTTTTTTTTGGCCCCAGTTTTTAAACCAAGATTTGGCTTTCCAACTTTAAGACAAGTAAATGGTGCATGTGATGCAAGTATTGTAAATATGTAGACATATCAAATAATATTGAAAATAAATTTATTTTAAACCACCTTATTTAAAAGATATCTGTAATTGTTTTTCACATATCTTTTAAAACTAAAGCATATTTGCAGAATTCTGACAGTGCTAGGTATTGGAACATTTTGTTACCTTTGTTCAACTTGAAAAAATATTAATATTATGACTTTTCTGTACTAAGTTTTGGGTTAAGTGAAGTAGGGAATGTAAAAATGAGTAAGATAGAGTATTGCCCTTATAGTAAATAACATCGTTCCTTTCTTTATTCTCTGGTATACTTCCATTTGGGTATCACTAATTACTACTTTACATTGTAGAGTCCAAACACAATGTGACTGTTGTTTCTTATACTGGCATCGAGCTGTCTTCCCAATTTATTTAGATGATGTGTATGAAAATGCTGTTGATGCAGCCAGACTACATGTAAGTAAAGAATAACATAAAGAATAAAGCCATAATTTTTTAGTATAAACCATTCTAATTATTTAAAATAAAACAGATTATTTGACTTAATAGACATTTAAAAATTGACTGTTAGTACTGTTTTGTACAGTTCTATGCCTATTGGGTAAGCATTTATACATCTTATAGTTAATATACTAATGAAAAGTTAATTTTAATATCTCTAACTCCTCCCTTCATATTCCTAATCATTGTCATTTCACTTGATTTTAGTTTATGTCACAGTAGCCTGGCATGTATTTGTCAGTAGACGGTAGAGTTCATGTTATTCAAATCTTTCTATTTCTTTATGTGAATAAGTGTGTTTGAATGCTCAAGATAGGAAAGGATAAGTGAATGTGAATTTTTATGTATTTAGTAGAAGTTTTTGTATACCTTAGTGAATAAAGTCCGATTCTTGTTTTATTTAGGGAAATAAGATAATCATGTGGAAAACACACTTTCAGACTGAGATTTTGTCTTTCAAGATAGATAATTGACTTTTGATATTGTTTAGATTAGAGATATGGTCTTTCTAAATTCATGTACATTTAACTTTTTTCATAGTACATGTTCAGTGCTTTACGTGACTGTGTACCTGCTATGATGCATGCAAGGCATTTAGAGTCCTATGAAATACTTCTGGATTGCTATGACAAGGAAATTATGGAAATTTTAAATGAGGTAATATGATATTTGAGATTGAAACACTTAAAACATATTTTTGGAATGCAGTGTTTGCAAAAAATTTTGGGTCAAATTAATCTCTTATTAAAATTATTATTTATAATTTTATAACATGAGGTCTCCACGAGTCGGAACTGACTCGATGGCAACTAACAACATTATTATTTATAAATCACTGTGTAGAACAAAGGAACTGTTTTTAGTTACATTATCACTATTATGCTAAATTGACCTGTAATTCCTAAATTTTATATAGAAAACCAGATTGGGAGTTTTGAAATTTTTATTTACTTTCGTGAATTATATGTTTGAATTTGAAGTTCTTTTTATTCGAAAAATACAAATGCAAAGTGGGTTTGAGTGCTGAGTGCTTCTAATGGTAATACAATTAAGGCAACTTAACTATTAATATTTTATTCAATTTTATTTGGAGAGCTACTATCTAAAAGGAGAGCTACTAACTAAAAGGGTGAAATCTATTACTAGTATAAAAAAATAATTTGAATGCAATGTAGTATGCCCCTCTGTTTTACTGAAATGTGTTTTATAAACACTGAGATCTTTGAAATTGAGTTTCTTTCTAGTGATATTTTTATCTGGAGGGAGGAATTAAGAATGAATACACTTCACAGTATAAATTTAGTTAAGTTTGCTAAGTATGAAATATTTTATGTAATTTCTTATATTAAATATTCTCACTTAGAAAAGATTATATATGTCTGGCCAGTTTTTAGAACTCCATGATAGACCAGAAAAGGTGATTTATTTTGTTATCTTTAGCTTGACAAATTTTGGGATTTTTAAAGATTATTACAAGGAAACTTTCTCTCTCTTTTTTTTTCCTTTCCTCTCTTACATATTTTCAGGGCCTTTCCACATTTGTTGATTGTTCCCTTAAGTTATATGCTTTTTTGTACTTACAGTATTAATACTGTGTTCATGCTCCTTATTAATGAAGCAATCACTAACTAGCTTTTGATTTTCTTGTCAAGGATATTAAACTAAAAGTACTAATGAAAACAGAGGCTTTGAATTTATTTAACTGCTCCCTGATCAAAAAATTGTTGGTTTAAAACGGAGTGCAAAGTAATTTTCACTTTCCCAATAAAAATAAGATTTTACCATGGAATATTTAAACAAAAAAGCCAGGTTAACAATTTTTCCATCATAATATTTAGAAAGTCTAATTCCAAATACTTATGGTTCTTCTGATTACACCAGACTACCTTTAATGTGCAAGTTATCTATTAAGAATGCACTAATTATAAAACTCTAAAGGTCAAAGCATAGGCACCTAGAGAGATAATATAATTAGAATATCATTTTGAAATATTAAGATATTGATTCTTTTGTGAATAGCATTTGCTGGACAAGTTGTGCAAAGAAATAGAGAAGGATTTGCGACTTTCCGTGCACACTCATTTAAAACTGGATGACCGAAACCCTTTCAAAGTTGGCATGAAAGATCTGGCCCTTTTTTTCTCTCTGAACCCAATTCGGTTTTTCAATCGTTTCATTGACATTCGAGGTGAGCATTTTGGTTTCCTTCTTAGTGTGTCCTTAATGTTCAAAGGCAAGTTTGCTTATTTCCTTTTCTGTCTCATTTCTCTCTCTTTTCTACTGTTCCATGAGTCAAAATGTTTTAGGATTTTTTTTTTTTTTTTGTAGCTTATGTAACTCACTATCTAGACAAGACTTTCTACAATTTAACAACAGTAGCTCTTCATGACTGGGCCACTTATAGTGAAATGAGAAACTTAGCTACGCAGCGTTATGGATTGGTTATGACAGAGGCACATCTTCCTAGTCAGACTTTGGAGCAGGTATAGTATCAAATGTTTCTTTCATGGTGTGACTTTAACATGATAACATCATTTCTTTTTAAGAAATCTTTTTTTTTCTTTAGTTTGTTTAAAGAAAATATATCCTTTTTTATAAAACCTCATACTTGGCAATAGCAAAATATTAGACTGTGCTGATTTGGTTTATAAAAGAATTTACCACAGGCTCTTTGTTTACAATCAGTTTTGTGTTGAATATTTGAAGTACACAGAGATTTAGATACAGCTTTTCAGAAACACTTTGGGATACTGAGGTGACTTCTGCAGAATTGTAAAAAATTCAGTCAAGGTCACAGTTATGGATTTTAGACCTGGGTATATAATATATATGTAACCTTTAATATCTTAGGAAAAATGATTAAATTTACATGATTTGTTCTTAAAGTGAGCAGTATAAAGCATTTGACTTTGCTAGTTCAATGAGCTAATTTACAATATGGCAATATCATGAGTATAATAGTTTATGTTATTAGTTAATTTGCATGTAATTCTTGCTAAAATAATCCAGGCCTGTCTCATATATTTACCAAAAAACACTTATTCAGTTCCAGTATTTCCAGAATTTCAGTTCCAGGGCCATCATTTTTCTTTTATCCTGCTGCATGTAGACCATTTCTAGGATCAACTTCATTCGTTTATTTGTATATCAAATACTTATTGAGAACCTACACTACATGGTAGACATTGAGCTTGATTTAGGGATACAATCAAAGATAAGTAGAAACAGTCTCAGCCGATGTACTCACAACCTAATGGGAGAAAAAAATGAGTAAACACATTTTTAGAATAGAGTATGATAAAAGCTATAATAAATACATGATCAAAGAACCCTAATTAGAAAGCAATAGAACAATTTATGTGATACCATTAGGTGTTAGAATAATATCTGAAGAATGAAGGATTCTTAATAGATAACCTGTACATTAAAGGTAGTCTGTTACAAGCAAAAGAAGCATAAGGACTTGGAATTAGACTTTCTAAATGTTAGGGTTCTGCCTCTTACTAGTGATTTGGCCTTTGAGAAGTCTCTTAGCTTCAGTTTCTTCATTTGTGAAATTTAGAAGAATAATTCCTTATTTATTTATTTTCGAGAATTTCATATAATAAACCTTACATGCCTGTACTGATACCCATTGCTGTCGAGTAGATTCCACTCATAGCGACCCTATATAACAGAGTAGAACTGCTCCCATAGAGTTTCCAAGGAACAGCTGGTGGATTCAAACTGCCAACCTTTTGGTTAGCAGCTGAGTTCTTAACCACTATGCACCAGGGCTCCCAAACCTTGCATAGTACCTGAAAAATAGTAGCTATTTTATCAGTGCTCTCCGTCATCTCCTGACTACCTTTTAGAATCTAGACATAGTTTACTTTTTAAAAAATGTAGTGGAGATCCTTAGGAAGACAAACCAAATCTTGTTAAGAAGGGTGGGGAAAATGATTGTGGATCTTTGAATATTTAAATCTAACTGTTCCTGACTACGCAAATGAGATGAAAAAAACAAGCAGCTAAGTTATCAAGGAGATAGTCCTGATTATCCGTTTCAGAAGGCCCTTTTAACCTTTGGTCATACCCTTTGTATAGTTGTCCTTTCTTTAAAATTATTTAATAATATTAGGAAACTTAACATAATTTGTAAGTCACTATATTGATGCAAGTGTAACTGATTATCTTAAACTAATAATGGTAGAATTTCTGTATGGATTGTGTTGTAGGGTCTGGATGTTTTGGAAATTATGAGAAACATTCATATATTTGTGTCTCGATACCTCTATAATCTCAACAATCAGGTGAGTGGTTTAGAGATTTTTTTTTTTCATGTTGGTGGATATATGGTGGGAAGGGCAATGAATTGATTCTTAAGGGTGAAAATTAGTAAAATAAACAAAACAAAAAATAATTGCTTTAGAGATCATCCTGTTTATTCCTTTGCTTTGACTGTACTGTTTTCTGGAATGGCTTTTCAATTAGATTATCTTTAATGAAATAGATTCTGAAATTTTCTTTGGATAACTTTCTGGCCAGTATTTGCTGTGGATTGTGTTATTATTGATAAGTGCATAATTTTATTTCATTGCAGATCTTTATTGAACGAACAAGCAATAACAAACATTTGAATACAATTAATATTCGGCACATTGCTAATTCAATTCGAACACATGGCACAGGAATCATGAATACAACAGTAAGAACCTTTTTTAGGTGGGAGGTGGTAGTAGACCCCTGTTTAGTAGTTTGGAAAATAGTTTTTGATAGAATAATCTGGTAAACATATACTACCTGTTTATATTATATCTGAATTTCTTATTTTTCAGGTTGTATAATTAAAATGTATGACACTAAAATTGTATGTAATGGAAGCTCTGTGATTTAAAAAAAGGCACTTTAAAATATTTTATCATTAAAAAATATATTTTATCATCTCAGGGTCATTATTATAAGTAGCTTTGGAGATTTGAGGACATGAGTATATATATCTGTGTGGATTCTCTAAAGTTGCTTTGGAAAGTGAATCACTGATAGCAGTTTACTTCACATCATTCATCCATTTTTCATGAGAAAGCTTTTTTGGTGAAGGGAAATACAAATAAATAGGAATTTACTAAAAATATTTTGGAGCTACTTAGAAATGGACATTCAGTCACTTGACAAAGTCATTTGAACTTGTATGTGATTTTTCTCTCTGCGGAAAAAGATGAAATTTCTGAATTTACCTGGTTGTCAGGGCACAGTTAATTTTGCCTTGAGGGGAGAAGAAAGAATGCTTAAATAGAAAGTAGTATATTAAGCACATTTGGGAGTGAAGGAAAAGGGAAAAGACTGGAAAGTTAAGTTGGGACCATTTTAGTATATAGTGCGGAAGCCACTGAACTTTGTTGAGCTGATGAGTGGTGTGATTGGAGCTCTGTTTTGCTGGTTATCAACATAGAAATTCAGAGTTTGAAATTTAAAATTAGGAGTCATCCATGTAGAGATCGTGTCTGAAGCCCTAAGGATAAATAAACTGAATCTTTGAGGATAAATAAACTCTTCCTTGCCCTTGCTGTATTATCTGCTAAACACTCATTCACATAATAGATACTACTGAGTGTATTTTATGTCTTAGGCACTGTGCTGGGCCACTAGAGTGAGAAAAACAGACATGGTTCCTGCTCGTGTGGTAATTACAGTCTACTAAAGGATATAGAGTCGCTTTGAGTCGGAATCGACTTGATGGCGTTGGGTTTGGTTTTTTTTGGTTTTAAAGGATATAGATGTTAATAAGTTAATCACACTAATGAATGTAGGTGACTGAAGGAAAGGAGCATGCTTTTCCTGTGATATATTCTATGACAGCATATAATGGAGAAACCATATTCTGATTGCTGGGATGTGGTGTAGAGGGTCAGAAAGAAAGGGCACCTTGTAGGAAGTGATACCCTGTAGGAAGAGGGTTCCCTGTAGGAAGTTCCCTTTAGGAAGAGTTGAGGTCTGAGGGGGGCGGGGGGGTATACATTGCAAGGAGAGTATTCCACAGAGTGAGAATAGCTCGCGCAAAGCGCTGCTTGTTTGAGGGAATGTGGTGCATTTGAGCAGAAAGTAGTGCACAGAAAGTAACGGGGAAGATTATAAAGATGAGGCTGAGGAGTAGGCAGAGGTCACAGTTTGTGGGACCTTGTAGGCTTTGTTGAGGATTTTGGTCGTTATCTTAAGAGCCTTGAGAAGCACTTTGGGAATTTTAAGCAGAAGGTTTGCATTTTGAACAGATTACTCTGGCTGCAGTGTGGAGTAGTCACTGAAGTAGAGCTGCAGTGGGATGGCCAGTTAGGGCGTTAAAGTGGTCTAAGCAAGAGGATAGTTATTTGTGCTGGGGTAGTTTCAGGCAAGTTCAAAGAGCATCATGTTTCTTACTTTGGTGTCATTCTAGAATGTGATTAGTAATAAGTAGTCTTCTAGATGGAAGAATATGGTAACTTCTGACTGTAGTTTATGGCTTAAAAACCTGAGTCTTGAGTCTAGTTTTGTGATTCTTATTTCATCTTAATCCTATTATGAGAGTATTTTCCTTTTTTTTTTTGTTTTTTTTAGTAAAGATGTAGAAGATCTTATAGAAGGTTCTGTGAATATTTATGGATAATACAGAACTTCATTTATTTAAATATTTTCAGGTCAGATTAGACCTTATAGTTATTTTAGATAATTGTTACACAGTAGCATTGGTTTAAAATTTGTTTTTATATTAACTTTTTTCAATATTCTGAATTTTAATTGTATAGGTTAATTTCACCTACCAGTTTTTGAAAAAGAAGTTCTATATATTTAGCCAGTTTATGTATGACGAACATATCAAATCCAGATTGATTAAAGATATTCGATTTTTCCGGGAAATCAAGGACCAAAATGATCATAAGGTACTCTATATTTTTTTTGAGGTAGTTTGATTCAGCTGCTTAGAATATAGTAAGCATTTATGCTAAAATTCATTATTTAAATCTCTGCTGGGTTTTTAGTATATTAAAGTTTAAGGAAAAATTAGATGATCAATGTAACCAGTTGTTTATTTATTTGAAAATAATACAAAAGTAATACATGCTCATTCTGAAACATTTTAAAGTGCATAAAGCAGATGTCCTCCCTCATTTCTCTTTCCTCCTAATCCCATTTTCTAGAGGTAACTGCTGTTAACAATGTAGTATGATGGCTTTCATATATCATGCAGTAAGCATATATATTTGCACATACATATATTGCTTTCTTTTTTTTTAAACAAAATGGGGTAATGCTATACATATTGTTTTGCTGTGTATTTTTCACATGTCAGTACATACAGATCTACCTCATTCTTTTAAGAGTTGATAGTATGGCTATATACTGTAACTTATTTAGCCACCTCCTGTTAACAGATGCTTAGGTTTTTCTGATTTTTCACTGTTACAGAAGTGTTGCAGGTAACATCCTTACACATTTATCTCTGTATACTTTGGTACTATTTCTGAAAGAAAGATTGCTTCAGGAGGAATTTCCAGGACAAAAGTATTTAAAATTCTGAAGCATAGTGCCAAGCACTCCAAAAATGTTATACCAATAGACATGTCCACCAATACTTTATAAGAATACTGTTTTCCCTTTACCCTCTGGGCTGAGTTTTCCATGGTAAAGTTGTAAGTGGTAACAGTACGGAGGCATGTAACCATGTGGATAGAGAACCAATAGACTGAGACAGTCTTATATTTTATTTCTTGTATCCAGAACTATTTTAATTACCCTTCTTCAGGTTTGGAGTCCCTGGGTCCTATAACGGTTAAATACTCAGCTACTAACCAAAAGGTTGGCAATTTGAATCTACCTAGAGGCACCTCAGAAGAAAGCCTGGCAATCTACTTCTAAAAGAACACAGCCGTTGAAAGCCCAATGGAGTGCAGTTCTGCTCTGAAACACATGGGGTTGCCATGAGTTGGAACCAACTCAGTGGCAACTGGTTACTGGTTCTTAAGGTTCATCTAGTTCCTGCCGTGTTATATATTAATTGGTAGTTCTCTTCAATATTAGAACAACAAAATATTACTTTCTAGTAAAATAATAAAATTGCAAATTGTGGTTATCAATAGAGAATTGTATTAACTGTCTCATTTTTATTGGAACAGAAATTACTAGTATTCAGAGATATAATCATGATAAGAATTGCGTGCTTTTGTTATTATTATAAAATAGATAATTTCCTTACTCTCTTTTGTTATTATTGTAAAATAGATAATTTCAATCAAACAAGATTGAAAAAGTAATTTTTTACTGGTGATGGCAACTAGAAATTTTAGCCCAGCTGGTGTGTGATAATTGGGAAGGAATGTGTTTATAAGTCCCTTATCCCTTCAGACCACAGAAACTTGATCACATCTCTCTAAACAAATGTGTCTGGGAGGAATTGGTTTCTTTATCCTATCTCATAGAGTAGTTGGGTGTTAATGGAGACTAATAATGGTGGTGAGGAACTTAAGTTTGATGGCACTGGTTTTTATTCCCCCTAGTTAATGTCAAAAAGAAAAATGTTCATTTTACTACATTGACTTTGAACCCTGGTAATTTTTGCTCTATAAATTTTTTGTCATTAGACTTGAGTGTTTTTTTTTTTAAGCACAATAGGAATACAAAATTAGAAGGGAAATTGGCATGGTTGATTTGGTAAGTATTTTATGCTGTAGGGATCGTTAATAAAGATAGTTTCAAAAATATCTCCTAGTATCCTTTTGAAAGAGCAGAAAAATTCAATCGAGGCATCAGAAAACTTGGAATAACACCAGAGGGACAGAGCTACCTTGATCAGTTCAGGCAACTCATCAGCCAAATTGGTAAGTTATTATAAAAGTTTTGGGAAATAAAGTATAAATCCTAAGGCTATATATCATATATTAAATATACTAATAAACAGCTTATTATGTAAATGCCTGAATTCAACTGTATTCCTCCAAGGTAATTTTTTGTTTTTTTATTATCAAAAAAAATTTCAAATATGATTAGACTGTTGCTGCAGAAATGATTGAGACCGTAGGCTAATGTAAGTTAAAACTTTTCAACTAAGTTAAAATATATTTAATAAGTAGCTAGCTCATCTCAAAGGCCATATTCATAATTATAAATCAGTAACAAGTTACCTATAAATGTAGTTAAAGTTAACAATAGCTCAAGCCTAACGACGATTGTGAGGATGGCACAGGACCGGGCAGTGTTTCACTGTCTTATACACAGGGTCGCTATGAGTCGGAATCGACTCAGTGGTGCCTAACAAGAAGAAGATAACCTGAATGTTGTTTTAATTTTTCTATACTATATCATTTATATTTATGTATATAATTTCTTGAGTGTCCTTCTGCCATGTAAGTAGAGCTTGTCTTTTGAAATACATTAAAAGCCGGAATTATATGAAATAATCATAGATACATAAAACTTTATGCTTAAGAGTTTTTCATATACATTGTCTCTATTAATGACCTCACAGTAACCTGTACAATAGGCATGCAGTCACATTTTAAAGATGAAAAAAAGAGAAACTCAGAGAAATGAGTTGTGTTGCTAAGACTTAAACTAGGGTTTTTCAGCTCTAAACCCAAAGGTGTTTTATTTTATATTCTTCACAGTTTTAGACACCAAGCAGTTAGTTAGTAAATTCTAATTGACTATATTTTGGTAAAATTATCCCTCCTACAATTAATTTATCTAACATTTACTAAGAATCTGTTATGCAAGGTAACTCTGTTAGGTGCTAGAAATACAAAAGATAAGAAAGACACAACCTTTGCTCTCAAAGTGTTTTAAATTTACTGGCAGGAAAGATGTTACAAGCGTTTAATTCTGGAGTAAAGTTACTGAATGCAAACTTAAATTTTTAAATGAATTGTTTTTTGTTCTAGCGCTGCCATAACAAAAACTACCACAAGTGGGTGGCTTTAAAGAACAGAAATTTATTTTCTCACAGTTCTGGAGGCTAGAAGTCTGAATTCAGGGCAAGGCTCTAGAGGGAGGTCCTTCTTTGTCTGTTTCAGCTTCTAGTAGTTGCTGGCAATCTTTGGCGTTCCTGGGCTTCTAGATGCATCTTATAAGTCTTTTGTTAAATATCTTGAGAAAATGAGTAATCTCAGGGCTGGGAGCAAAATGAGAAATCTTTTTGTCTTATAACCTACCTGCCGAAATAATAACATTTATTGAGCGTTTACTATATGCCAGTACTGTTCTAAGTTCTTTACGTATCTTAACTCATTTAAAACTCACAACGATACTTTAAAGTATTATTATTTCCATTCATTCATTTCATAGGTATTTATTGAGGACAGATGTTTTTAGGTGCTGGTGATACATACGAAAGTAAACAAAGGTTTTTTCTCATGGAGCTTAGTTTAACAGATGAAGAAACTCAGAATGTAACTTGACCTAGATCTTATAGCTAACAAATGGCGGAGTCCAGATTTGAACCCAGATAGTCTAGCTTCAGAGCTTTTGCTTTTAACCACTACACTATACTTGCCTCTCACTAACATATTTTGATCAGTCCAAAGATTGACCTGACAGTTTGGAGGAAAACAGTGAAACTACATATTTGATTTTTCTGAGATGGCACATTAAAAAAAATTTTAATATCATCTCTCATATTGGGATAGGCCTTAAAATAGATTCAGTGATATCTATTTTGTAGGGTTATTAAAAACATCAGATGAGAATATATGTAAAGCATAGTTACTGTGATGCTTGTGAAATGTTAGCTACTTCTTACCGTTTTGTCTTTTCTTTCTCCCAAGTAATTTCAGTTCAGTTCATTAATAATTATTGAGTTCTTACTATGTGCCAGGACATGGTGGCTCTGGGGATAGAGCAGTAAAGAAAACAAAGGCCCTACTCATGGATCTTTCATTCTAATGAGGGCAAACACAAACAAAAAGGTCTATAATATGTCAGTGATAAGAAGAAATAAAAGCGGGATAAGGGGATGTAATGGGGGTGAGGAGTGCTCTATCTTCAGTGATGTTCAGGGAAAGTTCTGACAAAGTAGTAGCTAAACAGGGACCTAAATAAATAAAGTGAAGAAATAAGCCATGTGTGTATCCAGGCAAGGAGAGCCAGACAGAGATGACAGTAAGTGGAAAACCCTGAATCTGTGTAGCTGTTTTGAGGAACAGTCAGGCTGGAATGGAGTTAGTGAAGACCTGAGGGGGAGGACACGATAGCATAGCAGCAGCAAAGGGCAAGATCATGCAGGGCTGTGCTGACTATGGGAGCAGTTTGAATATGTTCTGAGATGGAAAGCCATTGTAGAGTTTTCAGAAAAGGAGTCATGTGGTCTGACTTAGTGTTAAAAGCATCATAGCTGCTATGCAGATAAAAGATTGGGGGTGGGGCAAAGTTGGATGCTAAAGTGGAAGTAGGAAACTCAGAAGGCCATATTGCAGTGGTCTAGGAAGAGATGGTGGTGGTTTGGAATAGGGGGATAGCTGTGAAGGTGATGAGAAGTGGTTGAATTCTGACTATATTTTGAAGGCAGAGAGCCAACATAATTTGCCCACAGATGGGCTGTAAAGTGTGTACGAAGGAAAGGAATCAGGGACAACTGCAAGGCATTTGGCCTGAGCAACTGGGAGGATGGATTTACCAGTTTCTGAGATAGGAAATATAATTGGGGATAAAGATCTTGAGTTTGATTTAGACATATTAAATTTAAAATTCTTCTTAGACATGTAGGTATAGGCATTGGATTAAAAAAAGCCTATAGTTCAGAGGAGAGGTCCAGACTAGAGATATAAATTTGGGTTGCATCTAATAAAGATTCTTGATATCACTTCCAGCTGGGGTGTGTGTGTGTGTGAAGTGGGGGTGGGGGTGGGCACTGATTTTTAATGTGAGAGTGAAGAAATTATTGATACAGAAATTTAAAAATATTTGATCTTTTCTGTGTAGTCATCGTTCTTTAAAATTTGGTTTATCAAATGAAAGTTAAATTTGAAAATGTTTGATACAGACATATATAAGTATGGAAAGTACAGGAGAATCTTTTGGTACTTAGGAGTGGAAACATTGTAATTGATTGCTCTATATAACTGTATTCCTGATTATTAGAGTTTAGAGATATTTATATAAAATTTGATTTTTTTGTGTGGTTTTTAAGGTAACGCTATGGGCTATGTACGAATGATAAGATCTGGTGGTCTTCATTGTAGCAGCAATGCCATTAGGTATGGATGCAAACATCATTTTTGCCTTGTTTATGCTGTTTACATATTTATGTCATTTAAATCTGTTATTGTAAGTAATACTGTAGAGAAGGTGTTTGTTCTTACTGATAAATTTTGAGATAATATAGGGAAAGAAAACCATTAATTCTACTAGTTAATTTTTTTCCTCCATAAATTTTAAGAGTGTAGCAGACCTTATTTTTAAAAATCTTTATTTCTATTACGGTTATATATAGTTACAGTTTGTGAATGGCTTTAGAGATTACTTGAATTTAAGGATTAAATTTTGATTATTTATATCTAAAATTTCAATTTTGGAACTGAAGTGGTGATACTAATAATATAACTGAAATACCAAGTTCTTTCCGAATAGGTAGTGGAAAAATTTAGAGTCCTGCAATATTACTTTGATATATGTATCAAAGGCATATATTTTACAATATGTTTTACTAAATTCTTTCCTAAATTATTATGTAGATTTGTGCCTGATCTTGAAGATATTGTGAATTTTGAAGAACTAGTAAAAGAAGAAGGTCTCGCAGAAGAAACATTAAAAGCAGCAAGGTAATCTAATTTTGAAATAATCTAAATTTGGAGATTTAAAAAGTAGATGTTTAAATTATATAAAATATTAAAGAGAAGACTAGAGGATAATGTATAAAATAATTTACCAAAAAAACCACAAATATGTCAGTGTTATTATATGGTCTCAGTTTATGAGATGTAATGAGTTTTTTTATTTTTAAGACTATGGTATTCTAACATCTTTCCAATTTCATTGAAAAGGTGTCTTCTGGAATGTGCCATGTGGTGTGATAGCTTACTAGCCACATGTGGCTATTGAGCACTGAAATGTCACTAGTCCAAACTGGGATGTGCTAAAGTATAAAGTACATGACTAATTTTGAAGGTTTAGTATAAAAAAAAGCCAAATATCTCATTAATAAAATCAATTTCACCTGTTTCTTTTTATCTTTTTTTAAATGTGGCTCCTAGAAAATTGAAAATTACATGTGACTCACAGTATATTCCTCCTCACCAACCACCGCTCTAGAATACAAGTCCTTCCTTTCCTGTCTTCTAGAGCAGCACTGTCCAATACACTAGCCACTAACACATGTGGCTATTGACCGCTTGAAATATGACTAGTGGAACAGAGGAACTGAATTTTTAGATTTATTTTAGTTAATTTTAAAGGTGTGCATCAGGTTTGTATTCTTTGACCGTACCTATTCAATCTGTATGCTGAACAAATAATCCAAGAAAGCTGGACTCTATGAAGAAGAACAGTGCATCAAGATTGGAGGAAGACTCATTAACAACCTGCGTTATGCTGATGACACAGCCTTGCTTGCTGAAAGCGAAGAGGACTTGAAGCACTTACTGATGAAGATCAAAGACTACACCCTTCTGTATGGATTACACACAAAAATCCTCACAACTGGACCAATAAGCAACATCATGATAAACGGAGAAAACATTGAAGTTGTCAAGGATTTCACTTTACTTGGATCCACAATCAATACCCATGGAAACAGCAGTCAAGAAATCAAAAGACACATTGCGTTGGGCCAATCTGCTGCAAAAGACCTCTTTAAAGTGTTGAAAAGCAAAGATGTCACCTTGAAGACTAAAGTGCACCTGACCCAAGCCATAGTGTTTTCAGTTGCCTCATATGCATGCAAAAGCTGGACAGTGAATAAGGAAGACTGAAGAAGAATTGATGCCTTTGAATTGTGGTGTTGGCAAGGAATATTGAATACGTCATGGATTACTAAAAGAATGAACAAATCTATCTTGGAAGAAGTATAACCAGAATGGTCTTTAGAAGCAAGGATGGCGAGACTGTGTCTCACATACTTTGGGCATGTTACTGGGGGGATCAGTCCCTGGAGAAGGACATTGTGCTTGGTAAAGTAGAGGGTCAGCGACAAAGAGGAAGACCCTCAACCAATATGGACTGACACAGTGGCTGCAACAGTGGACTCAAGTGTAACAACGATTATGAGGATGGCTCTGTTGTACATAGGGTCGCTATGAGTCAAAACTGACTCGACGGCACCTAACAACAAACAACAATTTAAATTTAAGTAGCTAGTGGCTATTGTATTGGACACTGCAGATCAGTAGACTTCAACCAGTACTGATTTTGTTATATAAAACTTGAGAGAAGAAAGTATACAGAATTGTTAACAATTTGTTTGGAATACTCTATGCTTTATTATTATTAATTGTAACAGTTTATTGAGTCAGGCATGAAGGACATCCCTGGACAGACTGGGGATAATTTGAATATTGAAAAGAATAATGGTAGAAATAGATTATAATATACTGAATGAAAAAGAATCCGTAACTCATAATGATAATAAGAAAGTTGAGAGAAGAGAGGGAAAGCTTCTTTTAATAGAAGAATGCCAGCTAAATAAGTGTAAAAGGGATGAGAAAATTTAGAAAAAGAGTCACCATTTTGCAGTCATCACTGTAATACTTGAAATCAGGCAAGAATCATCCATGGAGTCTAAAACACTGGATGAAAAGTTGTTTGAGAACAGAGTATTCATTCAGTCTTAAAAAATGATTCCCAAAATGGTTTATTGATCACAGAGGGCGTTAAGTATCTTTATAGTAGAGAGATTGGTATATACCACCTTAACCAAGTGATCAAATTTAGCATCACCAATAATGGGGTATTTAATTATGAGGAAACAATCTGGGAAATCCAGAATATGGAACATTCTACAAGACACCTGCCCTAGATTTAAAAAATGTCAAATGTTAAACAGCAAGGAGACTGTTTAACAAGAAGATTAAAGAAACCCGACAACCAAATGCAATGGGTGAACCTTAATAGCATCCTAGGTAGGGGAAAAAATAAATCACTGTGAAAGACAAAAATTCCCTACATGGGGGATAATTGGAGAGATTTGGATATGGATTGCATATTAGATAATATTGTATTTTATTCTTGGGTGTGATACAGTGCTCTAAAATTATATATTAACTCATGGTATTAAGGACACAGAAAAGAAAGAGTTCAAAAATGTGATAAAGTGGTAATGAGTGAGAACTTAAAGGAAAGGAGAGTGAAGTCAGAGAGTGGGATATCATCTTTTAAGATCTCTAGTGTAAACTTGTCTCTGGTAGTGGCAAGGCCCAGATTTGTCCAAGGGGATGGATGCCTGTAGTGAAGTGAAATAAAGGTAAAGTCAATGAGTTATGGGATTGTGATAATGAGTAGATTATCCACATGGACAGCAAAGTCCTCCAAAATGATGGAAAAGGATTGGAGCAGGTATCAAAGTCCTAGATAAGTGTATGGCAGTGATTAAAGAGGGAGTAGATGCCTGATTTCAGGAGGAACTGGTTGGGTAGATAGTTGGATCATCTGAGCCTCAAAGGAGAGATTTCCACCTTGTAGTGGTGGAGGAATAATTACTTGAAAGTGAAATGGCTGTACATGAGGGATTTTTATACATGAAGAATGCAGGGGAAAAAAGCAGCTGATGTTTCTGAAGGCTGAGAGGCAAGCTAAGTTTTTGAAAGAGCAGATTTCAGTTGCAGTAAGGAGGTGTGGAGAAGCATTAAGAGATTTAAGATGAGGAATTTATTTACAGTGAAATGGGATTCTACAGAGTTGGGGTAGGAAGAAGAAATACAATTGTATTAAGTTCCAAGATGCCCTACATATTCTATTGTAAGGACTAAGTTAATGAGTTAATGTTATTAATTTCTGTCCATAAGAAAATGAGTCCATTCTGAACTCCAAGGGAATTTACTTAGAAATGTCTTACAATGTTTCCTACTTTTGAGTGTGCTCATCTAACCTGATGAAAGATGGATTTAAAAAGTCACAGCTCCTGAGGACCATGGTCTCAGGGAACATCTAGCTCAATTGACATAACACAGTTTATAAAGAAAATGTTCCACATTCTACCTTGATGAGTAGCATCTGGGGTCTTAATAGCCTGTGAGCACCCATCTAAGATACTCCACTGGTCTCACCCCTTCGGGAGCAAGGGAGAATGAAGACAACAGGATACAAGGGAAAGATTAGTCCAAAGGACTAATGGACCACAACTACCACGGCCTGCACCAGACTCAGTCCAGTACAACTAGATGGTGGCCAGCTACCACCACTGACTGCTCTGATAGGGATTACAACAGAGGGTCCTGGACAGAGCTGGAGAAAAATGTAGGACAAAATTCTGACTCACAAAAAAAGACCAGATTTACTTGCCTGACAGAGACCAGAGAAACCCCTAGAGTATGGCCCCTTGGACACCTTTTTAGTTCAGTAAGAAAGTCACTCCTGAGGTTCACTCTGCAGCCAAAGATTAGGCCCATAAAACAAATCGAGATTAAAGGGGCACACCAGCCCAGGGGCAAGGACTGGAAGGCAGGAAGGGACAGGAAAGCTGGCATTAGGGAACCCAAGGTTGAGAAGGGAGAATGTTGACATGTAGTGGGATTGTTAACCAGTGTCATAAAACAATATGTGTACTAACTGTTTAATGAGAAACTATTTGTTCTGTAAACCTTCATCTAAAGTACAGTTAAAAAAAAAAAAAAAGTCACAGCTCCTTCTGAGAGAGGAACCAAGTAAAAAATATTTTTGTTTTTTAGGCATTTGGATTCAGTCCTCAGTGATCACACACGAAATTCTGCGGAAGGCACAGAATATTTCAAAATGCTTGTGGATGTTTTTGCTCCAGAGTTTCGAAGGCCAAAGAATATACATCTCCGAAATTTCTATATCATTGTTCCCCCTCTGGTGAGTATTTTCAGTACCTAAAATGTATCCTTTAAAAAAAGATTGTTGTTAAATAAATCCAGTTTTATTGAAGCATGAAATGCATACAGACTGTATTATTGACTTTATGATTGTAGATAAAACTAAATCTGATCTCAGTGAATGTGGACTAGAATTTTTATTTATTAGCTATGCAGGATGAGACTTATTTATAGTTAAGATAGATTCTTGTTTGTTAACAACTCCTAGAGAAACCCCAGTGTGATTTAAATTACTTAAGTGCACACCATTATATGCATACCAGATAGTCTTTTGGCAAAGTCATCCATATGATCATTTCAAGTCCTTAATGTAGACTAACTTTAACTGTTACAGTATGAAGTTATTTCTATCACATCTCTCTCTCTCTCTTTTTTTTAATAATATTGTATTTTTGGTGAAAGTTTACACAGCAAATTAGTTCCCGTTTAACAGTATCTGTACTTACTGTTCAGTGACATTGGTTACATTTTTCACAATGTGTCAGTGTTCTCATTACTTCTATTCTGGTTGTTCCTTTTCCATTAGTCTAGCTTCCCTACCCCTTCTTTGCTTTAGGATAAATGTTGACTGTTTGGTTTCATGTAAATGATTACTTAAAAGACCTCAGTACTCACTGGTGATATTGTTTATTTTATGATGCAACCTGGTATTTAACTGAAAAGTGGCATCTGGGAGTGGTTTCAATTCCAAGTTTAAAGGGTATCTCAGGGCAGCAGTCTTACGGGTTCCTCTAGTCTCTACCGATCCAGTTAAGTTTGGCCTTTTTTAAGAATTCGAGTTTTGTTGTATTTTCTTCCCATTCTATCCAGGACCATCTATTGTGTCCCTGATCAGAATGGTAGGTAGTGGTAGCTGGGCACCATCTAGTACTTTAGGTGTCAGGATAGATGAGGATGTGGTTCATGAGGGCTGTCAGTCCTTTAGTTTCTTCTTTGAGTCTTCGGTTTCCTTCGTTCTCTTTTGCTCCAGATAAGGAGAGACAAGTAGTTGTATCTTAGATCGATCACATCTCTTAAAAGCATGTTGTTTGAGGATAACTACTCTCTATCCAGTAGTAATAACTAGCATCAAGACTAAATTTTTAGTGCTTCATCCTTACCATAGTATAGACAGTCCCGGAGTCACGAAGGAGATCCATTCCTAACTATGTCTTTAAGTCAAATCTGTAGGTAACTCGGAATAGGTGCATACAGTTCTTGTTTAGCCTTAGTTTAGTGCATGAAAAGGCTCTGAAACCTTTTCGGTGATTTAAAAGCTGCACGTGCAGCAAGTGAAGGTGATTGTGATAAAGAATTTGATGTGAGTATGGTTGGTTGGTTCGATTAATTCAAAATGATGGCAAATTTACATAACATTAAAGGGGAAGTACAAGTTGTCTGTAAATTGGACATTTGCAGCCCGGGGACTGCCTGTATATAACATGTTCTGCTGTAATTCTGTGGTTGCCTTCTGAAAATAACTCACGTTATCAAAAACTGCATTATAAAAACAATTGTTCCAGTGGGGAAAATGGAGTGAGAGATAAGCGAGGTACGTACTAGCAAATAAGAGTGATTTTTCCCTAAAGTTTCCTGTAATAAAGTTTTTTTTAATTAGTAAATGGATAGCTCTGAATATCTTTTTATATTGCTGCCTGATTGTTACTAGCACATATATTCTTACAAATTATAACCATCATTGTCCATTGAAAGTAGCTGATGGTCCATAGACAGACTTTTTTTTCTTAGTGAATCTCTACTGTTTTGTGCATTTATTGTTGTTAATTCGCTCTCATAATTATGTCATAACTATGATGTTGTAGAAGTGTCCATATTTGGTAAGCTTCATTTTTTTCATCTTAAGATGGTGTCAAACTGGAGGTGAGTCTGACTTAGGCATGCTTTGATAACAGAGTAGTTAACTCAGGGTGAGTTCTGACCATATTTCTTTAAATTAGAAGGGCAGTATACTCAAGCCATAGTACAGAGTCTGCAGTTTTATAGGGTACCTTTCAGAATTCAATTGAGGATGGAGAAAACAAGATGGATTAAGAGTACTACAAAGAAATACAGGGCACTATGTTTGTGCTTGAGTTTACAATCTAGTTCCAGGAAGAAAAATAATGAGATACCTAAGAAAAGATTTGAATAAGTTGGTAAAGATTTTAAAAATATGTGATTAATTGCCAGATAAGTTTTATAGGCAATAAACGTGAAAGTTGATTTTTTGTTTCCAGTATAGGATGTTATAGCACTTATCACACAGTACAGTAATTATTTTTAGAACAGATTTCTCTTTACCCTTCTAGAGTAGTGCTGTCCATGTGTAGCCACATGTGGCTCCTTAAATTTAAATTCAGATTAATTAAAATTTAATGAAATTAAAAGTTCAGTTCCTTAGTTGCACTAGCCACATTTCAAGAGTTAAGGGCCACATGTGGCTACACATGGACAGCACTGCTCTAGAGGGGTAAAGTGCCTAGTGTCTACTGTATTGGGCAGTGCAGATACAGAATATTTCCATCATCTCAGGCAGTTCTGTGCAGCAGACAGTGTTCTAGAGTGTGAACTCTTTAATGGTATTCATTTTTTTAATCCGAAGTACTTAATAATGCCTGGTACATACTAAGCTACAGTGACTCTTTGTTGAATAAATGATATGATTAGATAAGCTATATTAGAGGAGCTGAATTTCCAAGGGACGCACTGTTTTGCTCATATAGCACTATTTTGCATTGCTATCTGGCTGCTTTTACTCCTTTGACTGGGCCTTTTAGGATGGAGTGGAAGGTGGTGTGCATGAAAGCACAGCACTATGCTGAGCAGTGTGTTGAGTTCTTTTTTTTTTTTGGAACATTTTATTGTGTTTTAGGTGGAAGTTTACACAGTAAATTAGTTTCCCATTCAACAGTTTATATGCAGTTTGTTCTGTGACATTGATTACTAGCCCCACAATGTGTCAGTACTCTCCGCATTTCCACCCTGCCTTCCCCATTTCCATCCCTCCAGTTTGCCTGCCCCCCTTGCCTTCTTATCTTTGCTTTTGGGCATATGTGCCCATTTGGTCTCCTGTAGTTCATTGTTCTAAGGAACACATTCTTCACGGGTGTTATTGTTTATTTTATAGGTCAGTCTATGGGAGTGCCTTCAGTTCCAGGTTAAAAGAATGTCTTAGGGCGATAGTCTCAGGGGTTCCTCCAGTCTCTACCAGTCCAGTAAGTCTGCTCTTTTTTATGAATTTGAGTTTTGTTCTACATTTTTTTCCCATTCTAACTAGGACCTTCTATTGTATCCCTGGTCAGGGCAGTTGTTAGTGGTAGCCAGGCATCATCTAGTTCTTCTGGTCTCAGGCTAGAGGAGGCAGTGGTTTGTGTGGGCCATTAGTTCTGTAGACTAATTGCTTCCTTGAGTCTTTGGTTTCCTTCACTCTTCTTTGCTGCAGACAGGAAGAGACCAATAGTTGTATCTTGGATGCCCGCTTACAAGCTTTTAAGACCCCAGATGCTACTCAACAAACTAGGATGTAGAACATTATCTTTATGAACTGTGTTATGCCAATTGACCTAGATGTCCCCTGAACTATGGTCCTTAGCCTTCAAGCCCAGTAACTCAATCCCACGAGGTGTTTGGCAATGTCTTAAGAAGTTTCCATAACTGTGCCCCCACGTGCTCTATTATATATATGAATATATATGTAGCACATACAAATATGTATATATAAATGCCCACAATTATATATGCACGCACATGTACTCCCATACACCCTCCCACACCTATATAGCATACGTATCTATGTAACCACTCACAATTTTTTTTTTTTTTTATTAAACTTTAGATGAAGGTTTACAGAATAAACTAGCTTCTCATTAGACAGTACATATATTGTTTTATGACATTGGTTAACAACCCCATGACATGTCAGTACTCTTCCTTCTCGACCTTGGGTTCCCTATTACCCCCTCCTGCCTTATAGTGCTTGCCCCTGGGCTGGTGTGCCCCTTGGTCTCGTTTTGTCCTGTGGGTCTGTCCAATCTTTGGCTAAAAAGTGAACCTCCAGAGTGACTTCATTACTGGGCTAAAAGGGTGTCTGGGAGCCATACTCTCGGGGTTTCTCCAGTCTGTCAGGCCAGTATGTCTGGGCTTTTTTTGACCACTCACAAATTTTTGGTTGCTATTTACTGTTGTTGCAAAATTGTATATGTTATAACATTTACCGTAGTTGTCCTTTATTCTTGCATACCTCTCAGTGTCTTCATTTACCTTGGTCACGTTGAGCTGACTTCCCCTATATTGTGTTTTGCCTTTCCCTTCACCAGAATTAACACACGTGTACCATCTAGTAAGTGATTCTCCCCTCTTCTCCCTCCTAACCCTGGTAACCATCAAAGAATGTTGCTGTCTGTGTGTAAACCTATTCTTGACTTTTTATAAAAGTGACTGACTTATATCATTCAGCATAGTGTCTTCCAGATTCATCTATGTTATGTTTTATGGACTTGTCATTACTCTTTATCATTTTTTAGTATTCTTTTGTATGTATGTACCACATTTTGGGAGCCCTGGTGGTGTAGTGGTTAAGAGCGTGACTGCTAACCAAAAGTTCGGCCGTTCGAATCCACCAGCCACTCCTTGGAAACCCTATGGAGGCATTTTGTTTGTTCATTCATCCGTTGATGGACACTTCGGTTGTTTCCATCTTTTGCTATTGTGAATAATGCTACAGTGAACATGGGTGTGCATATGTCTGTTAGTGTCACTACTCTTGTATCTCTAGGATTTATACCTAGGAGTGGGATTGCTGGATTATATGGTATTTCTATTTCTAGTTTTTTGAGGAAGTGCCATACCATTTTCCATAGTGGTTGTATATGCTGAGTTCTTAAGGGAATTATCTCAGGTAGTTTTCACAACCCTATGAAATGGGTAGGAGCCCTGGTGGTGCAAACGGTTAAGTGCTCGACTGCTAACCAAAAGGTTGGCAGTTTGAACTCACCCAGTGGCTCCATGGGAGAGAGACCTTGTGATCTGCTTCTGTAAAGATAACAGCCAAGAAAACCCTATGGGGCAGTTTTTCTCTGTCACATGGGGGTCACTATGAGTCAGAATTGACTTGACGGGCCTAACAACAACAACATGAAATGGGTATGTACTTTTGTTACCTACATTTACAGATGACGAGGCCCGGGTTCACAAAGGTAAACTAGCTTATTCAGCTATGAAGTGGCCAAACCAGGACGAAAAAGCAACTATGGTGTAGGTACAGTGTGTAAATAAGTTTGTGGCAAAGTATTTAGTAAAGGATGTTATAAAGGGCCTTAAATTTTGGACTGGGGAATTCAGCCTTTGAAAGACTACTGATGCTTTTTAACCAGAACCATGAAAAGAAATAGTATTTTAGAATGAGTTGGGTGGGCTTAAGAGCGCTTGTGCTGTGAAGTAAAGCTGGCCTACTCTTCTACTCCACCTTTCACTTAGTATATGACTTCGGGCAAGTTACTAAATTTCCCAAGCCTCAGCGTCCTCAACTCTAAAATGCAGATAATGTTTATTAATGAAGCATATACAGGGCATTGTGCTGCCATTCGGTAGAGACTGAGTGAGTACTCATGTTTAAAGGACTTGGAAAGAAGAGCCCTTAAGAGACACATACAGATTTGTGTCCTCACCAGGAGGCTATTATATGAGGCAAATGTTTCAAATCAAAAGGTTAGGAACCTAGAAGAGATTCTACTTTTAATTTTTGAAATGGCTATTTTAGGAACTACATTCTGAAGATTTTCTTAGCACAGTTGATTCTCTAATATATTGTTCTCTCTTTTCAGACCCTCAACTTTGTAGAGCATTCCATTAGTTGCAAGGAAAAATTGAACAAAAAAAATAAAATTGGAGCTGCTTTTACTGATGATGGCTTTGCCATGGGTAAGCTTAATGGAATTGTTTTTCCATTTATTTTATGTTTGCCTGATAATGGATTCTTAGAAATATTTGCTGGAGGCTAGGTCAAAATGTTCTTATAAATTCCAAGAATTTATAAATTTCTTTATAAATTTGTTTTTCACAAGCATTGTTTACTGTTTATTTTTCAGTTGGGCCATCTGATTGACAGGACTTGTTTTTCCATCATTTGTAACTATCATTAATGTGTTCTTGGTATTACTGATCACTTAGTCTAGTTTGACCTAGTATTTAGGCTTTGTTTTTGTTGTGGTTTTACAGTTTCAGAATCTTGTGTTTACTTTCCTTGGTTTCCCTACAACATCCTCAGTTGCTGTCTGTTTAAGCAGTGGCAGTTTTTTTATCCCACCCTTACGGCCATGTATTTTTTCAGGTGATTTTCATGGCCCTTTTTTTTTTGTTTTTTTGTTTGGCTTATCTTTAATTCTTTATACGTTTACATCTTTTTTTTTTTTTAAAGGAGGAATTAAATCATGTTGCTAAACTTGTTGACTTATGCTTTGAAATGTAATTTGAAAGAGGAGTTACTGGGAAAGGAGCAGAATACAACTTCTGTCCTCATTGTACTTGAATTTTGGTTTTGTTCATGACTGCAGGTGTGGCTTACATTCTAAAGCTTTTGGATCAGTACCAGGAGTTTGACTCACTTCACTGGTTCCAGTCTGTTAGAGAGAAGTACCTGAAGGAGATAAGAGCAGTTGCTAAGCAACAGAATGTTCAGTCAGCCAGTCAGGATGAAAAACTACTACAAACCATGAATCTCACTCACAAGCGACTGGATGTCTACCTGCAGGTAGAGGAAATATCTGAAAAGCCTAAGTCATACAGAAATCCTCATTTTAACAAGTGAGATGAATAGTGGTAAAAGGAATGTTTTTTAGAATGAATGGTATTTGGAAGCCATTTGACTCAGATCTTAAGAGCAGATGTGTAACTTAGGTCAGATTCTGTATTTATGATTCCCACTAGAGCTTTTTAAAATAATTTTAAAAAGAGATATTAAAAGATAAATACTTCGGATATGTTGCTGTAATATTTTTAGCTTTTATTTCAATTTTTTTTGTTCATTAGGAATTTGAATTGCTATATTTTTCACTGAGCAGTGCAAGAATTTTCTTCAGAGCAGACAAGACTGCAGCTGAAGAAAACCAGGAAAAGAAAGAGAAGGAAGGTCAGTGAGTGGCTTAAATTTGGAAAGACCAATAAGTCTTTCTTTAATAGTAGATGCTGATCCCCCATTTTATCTGGTTAGACTTCCAGCTTCCTTGTCCTTTTGGAAGATAATACTGAGCTAGAAATAAGTCTTTAAAACAGAAAAACCTTTGTGGATCATGTAATGCAAAATAAATTTACATAATTTGTTCATTTCACCCTGTGGTGCTCTTTTAGGCCGCTATTCAGTTTCACCTTTTATTAATTCAAATAAATTTAACAAACTTAGTTTTTTTTCTTTCATCCCTCAACCTATATCAGATTAAAACCCATTGCCGTTGAGTCGATACCAACTCTTAGTGACTCGATAGGACAGAGTAGAACTGCCCCATAGGGTTTCCAAGGAGCAGCTAGTGGATTTGAATTGCCAACTTTTTGGTTAGCAGTCAAACTCAGGTTAGAAGGAACAAATTAGGGGACGAACCCTGAATGTTGTTGAAGGCAGAACTGCTGATGACTAGACATTGACTGAGTGAGATATGATAGGTGATGAAAAACCAAAAACCAAACCTGTTGCCGTTGAGTCAATTCCAACTCATAGCGACCCTACAGGACAGAATAGAACTGCCCCATAGCGTTTCCAAGGAGCTCCTGGTGGATTCAAACTGCCAACCTTTCAGTTAGCAGTCAGGCTCTTAACCACTGTGCCACCAGGGTTTCTGATAGGTGATGGAGGTGTAAAATAGTAGGCGCTTTTTAGTGTCGTGGTGAACAGCCCTTCTGCTCTCCCCAGGCCCTGGAGAATCATGGTGCAGTATAGCCATAACTGATAGTCATTTCAATTAACTTGAGTCATTAAGGAACTGGATTCTGTTCACTGTATTCTATGTAGGATGGCAGGAAAGTATTTATACACTACCCCCCACCCAGTTTTTAAATAGACTATGTATTAGAGCAGTTTAAGGTTGACAGAAAAAATTGTGCTGAAAGTACACAGTGTTTCCATAAACCCTCTCTACTCCCTGCATACTGTTTCTCCTGTTAACATCTTAGATTGATGTGGTTTATTTGTTACAGTTGATGAACCAATACTGATACATTATTATTAACTAAAGTCAGTAGTTTACATTAGTGTTTGCTCTTTGTGTTGTACAGTCCTGTGGTTTTTGACAAATGCATATGTCATGTGTCCACCATTACAGGGATCATACAGAATTGTTTCACCACCTTAAAAATTTCCCTTGCTCCACCAGTTCATGCCTTGTCCCTCACCTACTTACACATTTGTATGCTTGAGAACATTCTTCAGTGTTTCATACCTAATGTCTTCCACGATAGATTTCTTTCAGACTGGAATTTAGGAACAGTTATCTTCCCTGAGGAACTTCCCCTTTTTCTGTCATGGAAATTATGTACCTTAGGCTTTCCTCCTTGTTCTGCTTGGAAGATAAAAACTATATAGAGCAACTAAATTGACCCTTCCAGGTCTCATGTTTGCCCTCCTCCGTTTTTTCTTACTTGTAATTAATAAAATTTTCCTAAATAAAACTTAAAACTTGTATTTCATAAAACAAGATGTTTTTATTAATCTTATTTTTTTTATAAGTCAGTTAAATTTTAAAATATACTTTTTTTTTGATATTGAGTAGAAGTGACTCATTCAGAGAAACCACTTATGTGAACTGCCTTATTCCCTGACAGTGTTACATAAATGAAATGTTACTAGTAAGGAGCATATGCAGGCATTTTTGGAATCTCCGTTGAGTAATAAGCATGTGCTTGAAAAATGATTTCAGGCTTCTACCTGAGAGATACTCAGTATTTGATTAAATGAAAATATGTATATATTCTGTTTGGGTTCATTTTCAAGGCTAAGATAATATTTAGCAAAGCAATTTGGAAGAATTTGAGTTGAGTATAATCTAAAATATGAAGAAACAAAGTTATTGCCTAGGTTCTATTCAGACATTTCATGATGCCAGAACCTTGTCTCCAGCCCAGGAGATAGGAAGACTCGGCAGGTGGATTAAAGCAAACCAGCCAACCTTCCAGTCTCATGGCAGCAGGACCCCTTACTTCTCCTGTTAAGGAACTCTCTGGGGTTCTGGTTGATCCCTGGGTCACTCCTGTGTTTCAGAACTCTTTATTTCAGCTAATGGTTGCTTAGAGATGTAGTCAAAGTTGCCAGATACATTGTCAACTAGTTTTTGTCTCTTAAAATATTAATATATGCACATGACATTCTGCACAAAAAGCCACAAACATTATAAAAAGTGGCTTTAAAAAATAAATTAATAAATACAAATGGGAAGCTATTTATTCTGGACAATTTTGAAATTTGAATTTGCAGCTCTGTTTCTATCAGTAACAGTGGCATACTCTAACAGTGAGTCTTGGCCCGGCTGGAGAAGCCAGCGTGGGGCATGCCTTCCTT